AAAATACAAAGGCAACCCAGGCTTTTTATGTCAATAATAAATGTCAAAATTTTCATAAATAAACAAACTGAGAAAAATAAACGTAATCCCAAAGAAAAAATATTTGAAATAAAATAAAACTTTAGCGAATAAAATCAATTTAAAAGAAGATTTAAACAAGCAATCGTAAGAGGCAATAAAATATTACTAATGTGTATAAATTAATTTGAAATTTGATATAATTTCAGCAAAAACCAAAATAAAAGGAATTGAAAGAATTTCAATAATAAATGATATTTTCAAATAAAATAACGTAAAATCGAGAATTTAAACGGAAAGATGTAAGAGTGCAATAAATATTATTAAAATACATAAATTAATTTGCAATATTCTGAAATTTTAGCGAAACACAAAGTAAGCTGAAAATGGAAGGAAATAAAATACAAGAAATTCTAAGGAAGAAGTCGGCAATTTCGAAATCAAAAGACAATGTAAGTCCAACTGCAATGAAGTCGCCAATAAAGCTGCTAATGCTAACATGGTTGTTTTAAATGGCGTTGCTATTTGGACGAATAATGTCAAAAACGCTCTGTGTTCTTGAACTATTTCTAGTTGGTTGCTATTGAAAATTTTGGAACAAAGGAACAACAAATGGGCCACAATAGGATTTGGAAATTCCTTTTTATTGAGGACGAATCAAAATCTTTTAGCTGTTCGCTCCAAGTTATATGCAATATCCGTAGTAATGGGGTATAATATGTTCTATGCGGCAATTTATGTCATGTGGATAATGTTACGTATACTACTATTGTCTACAGCACCGGGAAGATTAGACAACTACATTCTTCGTTTTTAAATATTAAATAATTGTTTATACTTCTTCTGTTCTTGTGTTAACTGTTTATTTCAAAATTAATGTTGATATTCATCTCCATTCTTTAAAACAAAAAAGTTTTAAATAGAATTTTGTTGTGTTTTTCATAAATGATAAAATTTAATGAAAAGATGGATATTCTATTCAAATCTTTTTGTTTTATGGAACGGAGAGGAATAAGGTTTCTTGTTATTTGTTTGTTATTTTTTAATTTGTTTGAAATAAATGTTTATAAAATCTAAGATTTGTTTTTGTAAAGGCATTTCTAACTAACTAACTACTAACTAACTAACTAACTACTAACTAACTACTAACTACTAACTACTAACTAACTAACTAACTACTAACTAACTACTAACTAACTAACTACTAACTAACTAACTAACTAACTAACTAACTAACTAACTACTAACTAACTAACTACTAACTAACTAACTACTAACTAACTACTACTAACTAACTAACTAACTAACTAACTAACTAACTAACTAACTAACTAACTACTAACTACTAACTACTAACTACTAACTAACTAACTAACTAACTACTACTACTAACTAACTACTAACTAACTAACTAACTACACTAACTACTAACTAACTAACTAACTAACTAACTAACTAACTAACTAACTAACTAACGAACTAACTAACTACTAACTAACTAACTAACTAACTAACTACAACTAACTAACTAACTAACTAACTAACTAACTAACTAACTAACTAACTAACTAACTAACTAACTAACTAACTAACTAACTAACTAACTACTAACTAGCTAACTAACTAACTAACTAACTAACTAACTAACAACTAACTAACTAACTATCTAACTAACTAAACTAACTAACTAACTAACTAACACTACTAACTAACTAACTACTAACTAACTATCTAACTAACTAACTAACTAACTAACGAACTAACTAACTAACTAACTAACTAACTAACTAACTAACTAACTAACTACTAACTAACTACTAACTACTAACTAACTAACTAACTAACACTAACTAACTAACTAACTATAACTAACTACTAACTAACTAACTAACTAACTACAAAACAAACAACAAACAACTACTAACTACTAACTAACTAACTAACTACTTGACTAACTAACTAACTAACTAACTACTAACTTACTAACTAACTTACTAACTGACTAACTAACTAACTAACTACTAACTAACTAACTAACTAACTAACTAACTATTTTATAATTTGTTTTAAATAATTTTTAAGTTTTTTCCCTGTTTCTTTATAGATTTTTTACACATTTATTTTAACAAAATTTAACTAACTCTTAACATTGTAAATCTTTTTTAATAAAGAGAATTAAATATTATTTATACTAACTTTAGAGTTTTTAAATTTTTAACTATAGTAAAGTCCTCTATAATTTAATTTTTCTGTTCCCTAAGACAAGATCAGGTGGACGAATGTAAATCATAATGATAATTTTTTTACCAACCGATAACTCTTAAAGAAGAAAATTGGATTCGGATGACCTTATTCCTATTTGGTATAGGCGAAAATAACACAATTGTTTCGTTATCATTACATAATTCCTACAATTCTATAGAACTATTAATTAAATTTATAATTACAAAAGTTAAAACTTAAAAAAAAACAAATAAACTTAAAAACCCTAAACATATATTCCTGATAATAAAGATATAAAAAATATACAAAGGCAACCCAGGCTTTTTATGTCAATAATAAAAATGTCAAAAATTTTCATAAATAAACAACTGAGAAAAAATAAAAACGTATAATCCCAAAGAAAAAAAATATTTTGAAAATAAAAATAAAACTTTAGCGAATAAAATCAATTTAAAAGAAGATTTAAACAAGCAATCGTAAGAGGCAATAAAATATTACTAATGTGTATAAAATTAATTTGAAATTTGATATAATTTCAGCAAAAAACCAAAATAAAAAAAGGAATTGAAAGAATTTCAAATATAAATAAGATATTTTCAAATAAAATAACGTAAAATCGAGAATTTAAACGGAAAGATGTAAGAGTGCAATAAAATAGTATTAAAATACATATAATTAATTTGCAATATTCTGAAATTTTAGCGAAAACACAAAGTAAAGCTGAAAATGGAAGGAAATAAAATACAAGAAAATTCTAAGGAAAGAAGTCGGCAATTTCGAAATCAAAAAGACAATGTAAGTCCAACTGCAATGAAGTCGCCAAATAAAGCTGCTAATGCTAACATGGTTGTTTTAATGGCGTTGCTATTTGGACGAATAATGTCAAAAACGCTCTGTGTTCTTGAACTATTTCTAGGTTGGTTGCTATTGAAAATTTTGGAACAAAGGAACAACAAAATGGGCCACAATAGGATTTGGAAATTCCTTTTTATTGAGGACGATCAAAATCTTTTAGCTGTTCGCTCCAAGTTATATGCAATATCCGTAGTAATGGGGTATAATATGTTCTATGCGGCAATTTATGTCATGTGGATAATGTTACGTATACTATTGTCTACAGCACCGGGAAGATTAGACAACTACATTCGTTTTTAAATATTAAATAATTGTTTATACTTCTTCTGTTCTTGTGTTAAACTGTTTATTTCAAAATTAATGTTGATATGCATCTCCATTCTTTAAAACAAAAAAGTTTTAAATAGAATTTTGTTGTGTTTTTTCATAAATGATAAAATTTAAATGAAAAATGGAGATAAATTCTATTCAAAATCTTTTGTTTATGTTGTTATTTTTTAATTTGTTTGAAAATAAATGTTGTATAAAATCTAAGATTTGTTTTTGTAAAAGGCAATTTCTAACTAACTAACTAACTAACTAACTACTACTAACTAACTAACTAACTAACTAACTAACTAACTAACTAACTAACTAACTAACTAACTAACTAACTAACTAACTAACTAACTAACTAACTAACTAACTAACTAACTAACTACTAACTAACTAACTAACTAACTACTAACTAACTAACTAACTAACTACTAACTAACTAACTAACTACTAACTACTAACTAACTACTAACACTAACTAACTAACTAACTAACTAACTACTAACTAACTAACTAACTAACTACTAACTAACTAACTAACTAACTAACTAACTACTAACTAACTACTAACTAACTAACTAACTACTAACTAACTAACTAACTACTAACTAACTAACTAACTAACTAACTAACTAACTAACTAACTAACTAACTAACTAACTAACTAACTAACTACTAACTAACTAAACTAACTAACTAACTAACTAAACTAACTAACTACTAACTAACTAACTAACTAACTAACTAACTAACTAACTAACTAACTAACTAAACTAACTAACTAACTAACTAACTACTAACTAACTACTAACTAACACTAACTAACTAACTAACTAACTAACTAACTAACTAACTAACTAACTAACTAACTAACTAACTAACTAACTATACTAACTAACTAACTAACTAACTAACTAACTAACTAACTAACTAACTAACTAACTAACTAACTAATAACTAACAAACTAACTAACTAACTGACTAACTAACTAACTACTAACTAACCTAACTAACGAACTAACTAACTGACTAACTAACTAACTAACTAACTACTAACTAACTAACTAACTAACTAACTTAACTAACTTACTAACTAACTAACTAACTAACTATTTTATAATTTGTTTTAAATAAATTTAAAAAACTAATATTTTCATTTCTAACTAAATATGTTACACTGCTACCACTACAGAACTTTTTCATCTAAAAGTTGCGGTGTTAGAATTTTTCAAAATTAGAGATGAACTATCGAAAAACTAAAGATCTATTTAATGTTTATTTATTAAATATGTGAATAACCTTTTATTACAACAAAAGAAATAAAAGACATTTTTGAAAATTTAATATAAAATAAATTTATTTAAAACAATTAGAATTAATAACAAATCAAATATTTTCAAAAGATTTCTCTTATCACTCTCTATTCGTTAAAAGAAAAATGTTTGAAAGGAATTTTTTTATTCGAAAATAAAATTTATGAAAAAATCCCTTTCAAAGTGTTAAATTTTAAAGAACAGAGATTGATATTAGTTAAAAAATAACAAATAATTTGGAAATTAAACAATTAAACGAACAAAAAACAATTAAAATTACAAATGTTGTCCAATTATTTAAAAGGAATGTGTTTAAAAAAAAGATCCTGGTGCCGATGCCAATAATATTCGTATGATTATCCTTATCATATAAATCCAAACATAAATAATGTTATATCCCATTACTAACGACACCATATATAATTTTGAGCGTATTGCTAAAAGGTCCTGATCATCTTCAATTATAAGAAACTTCCATATAGTTTTGTTGTCCATTTTATTTTTTCTTTGTTCTAATATATTCAGCAGCACCCAATCTATAAAGATTTCAATAAAACAAAGCGTTTTTGAAAATAAACGACCAAGCATTAATGCCATAAAAAATAACTATAGTAATATTTGATGTGATGTTTGGTGTCTTCAGTGGCTTTTGACTTACATTGCCCTTTTCGTAATTGAAATTATTCGCCACTTCCTTAGCATCTTCATTCATTTTGAGATCTTGCATTTTGTTGTTTATTTTGCTAAAATTAATAAAGAATTTCAAATTAATTTTATAATTTTCTATAATATTTTATTGCCATCTTAACCTTTTCTTCTTGAAATCTTCTTTTAAATTGATTTTATTTGCAATATTTTATTTTGATTTCAAATTATTTTTTCCGTTTTTATTTAGTGTTTTTTTTGCTTAAATTATATAAAATTTCAAATAAATTTTATGTATTTCTAATATATTTTATTGCTTTCTCACCTTTTACTGCTTTCAATATTCTTTTAAATCGTTTTTATTTGAAATATTTTATTTTTTTTGAAATTCGTTTTTTTCTTTGTGAAAAAACGTTTTTATTTTTTCTCAATTTATTTATTTATGAAAATTTTTGACACTTTACTATTGACATATAAAGCCGGGGTTACCTTTGTGGAATTTATTTGTCTGAAATGTTTAGGGTTCCCAAATTTGTTTTATATTTAATATTGTTATAAGAAAAATAAATTAGAACAAATTATAAAATGTTTATACTTTTTCTGTTCTTGTGTTAAAATGTTAATTTCAAAATTAATGTTGATATTCATCTCCTTTCTTTAAAACAAAAAACTTTTAAATAGAATTTTGTTGTGTTTTTCATAAATGATAAAATTTAAATGAAAAATGGAGATAAATTCTATTCAAAATCTTTTTGTTTATGGAACGGAGAGGAATAAAGGTTTCTTGATATTTGTTTATTTTTAACTAACTAACTAACTAACTAACTAACTAACTGACTAACTAACTAACTAACTAACTAACTAACTAACTAACTAACTAACTACAAACAAACAAACAAACAAACAAACAAACAAAACAAACAAACAAACAAACAAACTAACTAACTAACTAACTAACTAACTAACTAACTAACTAACTAACTAACTAACTAACTAACTAACTAACTGACTAACTAACTAACTAACTAACTAACTAACTAACTAACTAACTAACTAACTGACTAACTAACTAACTATTTTATAATTTGTTTTAAATAATTTAAAACTAATATTTTCATTTCTAACTAAATATGTTACACTGCTACCACTACAGAACTTTTCATCTAAAAGTTGCGGTGTTAGAATTTTCAAAATTAGAGATGAACTATCGAAAAACTAAAGATCTATTTAATGTTTATTTATTAAATATGTGAATAACCTTTTATTACAACAAAAGAAATAAAAGACATTTTTGAAAATTTAATATAAAATAAATTTTTTTTAAACAATTAGAATTAATAACAAATCAAATATTTTCAAAAGATTTCTCTTATCACTCTCTATTCGTTAAAAGAAAAATGTTTGAAAGGAATTTTTTATTCGAAAATTCGAAAATTTATGAAAAAATCCCTTTCAAAGTGATAAATTTTAAAGAACAGAGATTGATATTAGTTAAAAAATAACAAATAATTTGGAAATTAACAATTAAACGAAAAAAAAACAATTAAAATTACAAATGTTGTCCAATTATTTAAAAGGAATGTGTTTAAAAAAAGATCCTGGTGCCGATGCCAATAATATTCGTATGATTATCCTTATCATATAAATCCAAACATAAATAATGTTATATCCCATTACTAACGACACCATATATAATTTTGAGCGTATTGCTAAAAAGGTCCTGATCATCTTCAATTATAAGAAACTTCCATATAGTTTGGTTGTCCATTTTATTTTTCTTTGTTCTAATATATTCAGCAGCAACCAATCTATAAAGATTTCAATAAAACAAAGCGTTTTTGAAAATAAACGACCAAGCATTAATGCCATAAAAATAACTATATTAATATTTGATGTGATGTTTGGTGTCTTCAGTGGCTTTTGACTTACATTGCCCTTTTCGTAATTGAAATTATTCGCCACTTCCTTAGCATCTTCATTCATTTTGAGATCTTGCATTTGTTGTTTATTTTGCTAAAATTAATAAAGAATTTCAAATTAATTTTATAATTTTCTATAATATTTTATTGCCATCTTACCTTTTCTTCTTGAAATCTTCTTTTAAATTGATTTATTTGCAAATATTTTATTTTGATTTCAAATTATTTTTTTCGTTTTTATTTTGTGTTTTTTTTGCTTAAATTATATAAAATTTTCAAATAAATTTTATGTATTTCTAATATATTTTATTGCTTTCTCACCTTTACTGCTTTCAATATTCTTTATAAATCGTTTTTATTTTGAAATATTTTATTTTTCTTTGAAATTCGTTTTTTTCTTTGTGAAAAAACGTTTTTATTTTTTTCTCAATTTATTTATTTATGAAATTTTTGACACTTTACTATTGACATATAAAGCCGGGGTTACCTTTGTGGAATTTATTTGTCTGAAATGTTTAGGGTTCCCAAATTTGTTTATATTTCATGTTATAAGAAAAATAAATTAGAACAAATGATAATAATGATAATCGGAGAATTTTAGCTTTCAGATTCGATGGTTAATTTAGCAACTATATGCTGATGAAATGCATAGCGTAATGTGTTTAATTCTTAATACTTTTGCCTTCTTAATGCTGATTTCAATTCAGGGGGGTTTCAAACTTTCGATTTGTTGTTTTATAATTAGAACAGTGATGATCTGAATCCTTAGAGATGATCTGTATATTTAATTATTAATATGAAGGGTATTCAAGCCGAATACCAGCACCACTTTTACTAAAATTGAAAAGTTGCAAGTATTAACCTATCTCAAATAAATGATAAAACATTTTACAGTTTTTTCGAATAACTTAATTGCAAACTTTATTATATCTTTTTTTATATATACGTACATTTTCATCATTATAGTTTTGTTCCTTTATCAGAAATTAAACAAAATTATTGTCCGTCTTTAATTAAATCATTATACAAAATACAGAATTTAGAATTCACATCGATACATTTGTGAAATTGTTAAATATAACAAAAAACAAAAAGACAATGTCATTTCATCGTTCAAATTGGCCGATTGACTACGGGTGATATGAACAAGCGATATGAATAAAATTAAAATACTAATAATCTGCAAGAAAATCTCATGTTTGGCTAAATGTTTGGGTTTCGTTTTTTTTTTAATCTAAATATGAAATATGTTTTATATTAGTTATTAATTAGTATATATATTTTTAAAATACATACATATAAATAAAAATTAACAAGATATTTTTTGTAAATGAAAATAAAGACAAATAAAGAACTAAATAAACTAATTTCACACTTAGTAGAGCTTAGTGTAAAATTTTTACAAAATCACGTTTAACAGGAAAAAAGAATTATTAACATTTTAATATAAAAAAATTAATCTATTTATATTTTTGCATAAATTCAGCATGGAATTTTTGGAATTTGTTCATCATATCTTTCAAGACGGCGGTTTGAGGTAAAATGGTGCTGCGGGAAATGATAGGTACCGGGTTTTTGGCCAAAACCGCTGCCAGCAACGATGCAAATACCTAAAGTAACAATTAAATAATGGAAATAAAGATTTTCGTTACAGAAAAGAATTATGGATACTTACCAGTAGATTCTAGCAATTCAGAGGCGTAGAAAGTATCAGGGGCCATATTCTTGGATTTGGCGATTTCGATAGCCTTGGGAGGAATTTCGATTTGTGGGAACACATACATGGCACCTTGTACTTTATTAACTTTGTAGCCCTCAAAACTGCTCAAAGTGTTGTAGACCAATTCAGCACGTTCCTTAAGAGCGCCCAAAATACCATCTCTTTCCTTGATGTATTGATTGTAGGAAGGCTCACCAGGCTTGGGGGGATTGACCTGCAATTTAACAAATAAATTGAGCTTGCTGTTTCTTTCTTTCCACAAAAATAATTTTTAAAAACTTACCAAAGCACTGACAGCTACTTGACCGGCAGTGGTACCACACAAAGAAGCGGTGATAGATTTGGTCAACATGGCCATAACCTTAGGACACATATTGATGATTTCCATATAACCACCACGAATACCACATTCACCCAAATAACCCTTTGAGGTAGACATAAAGCTGGCCATTCCATATCTTTATAGGGACCACCCATTTCGGTCATGACCTTTTTGAAGGAGAAGAATTTTGAATCCTTATCGTAAACATTGTCCTGATACACTTCATCGGCCAATACAACTAAGTTGTTGTCATAGGCAAATTTAATAATTTCTTCGATGTTTTGTCTGGTCAAAACTTGACCGGTGGGATTGCCGGGATTGATAACAACAATGGCACGTGGATTACAAGTCTTTTTAGCCTCATCATAGGAACGTTGCAATTCCTTGCGACTTAGACTCCAGCCAGTTTCTTCTTCCAAATAATAGTCAACCTTTTGCATGCCATACTCAGCAATGGTGGCCGAGTACAAAGGATATTGGGGAATGGGTACCATAACACCGGTGGCTTGCCATCAACATGACATCTAAAGTACAACAACAATAAAAAAAATTAAAAATAAACTATTTTAAAACAACAAACTCACCTAATCAAAGCCAATACACTTTGATGCCGGGAGAAGCACCGGCAGTCAAAAAGATATTATGCCAATCACAAGGTACACCATCACGTTGGGTAATGAAATCAGCTACTTGTTTGCGTACAACTTCCAAACCAGCAGAGTCAGTATAAGAACCGACGGAACCTCCTTGACAACAGCCCAAAACAGCCTTAGCACGAGCCTTAACATCATCAGGATATTGGGGAGAATTGAGGAGTTCTGGTTCGAAGGTTAATTCAAAAGCTTAAAAAATTAAAGAAAATTGTTATAAATTTTAAAACAAAAAAAATTGACTTAATTCCATTAAAATGCAGGCAAATAAAATCTATAAAATTGGCATGCCGTGGGCTATTATATATAGTATGTCTATATGAACTTTTTTACGGAATAATAAACACGCTACAAAACACACTCGTTTGTTAGTAGACGTTAAAATGTATGTATGTTGATATTTTAAAAACAATTTACAATTACATTCAATTAGTTTGGAAAATTAAGTTGTTGTTTATTTGGTACATTCGTTCATACATAGACTGTTTTGTTTTATTATTCCAATATTTACTTAAATTATTTATACAGCTTTCTGCCATATACGTAGTTACATTAGGTGGGCCCAAAACTAAAGTTTCAGGCGTATTTCCATATCCACTTAAGAACATTTTTATAAGATTCTTTTCTAGATTTCGATCTTAACAGTATATAAATATTTACTGGGATAATTTATATTTAAAAATTTCTATAAATTTCAAAATCTTTGCAGTTGCTAAGTGGGCAATATATTTAGCATGTTGCATGTTACACAAAGTATCTTTAAAATTCCTAAACAAAAAATCAAGCGGAATGCATGTCAATGGCCTTAAAGTAGACAATAGTAGACTGTTATGCTTAAACCTAAGAGCTTTTTGAACTCAATTGCTGTCAGTTTTGCGCTGTAATTTGTGTGATTCGTGTCCTTAAAAATCATATTCTGATTTATTTTAATAGTTAATTTTTTCAATACATTTAAATGGTTTGGTTTTATTAAAAAAATTAAGTGATTTTATTTAATATATAAAAAGAAAATACTGAACACTTTTTATCCGATATAAATTTTAATTGAATTCTCTGCGACTTCATTAATACTTGGCGCTTGGATTTTTTAATCTACATCTAAAATCTTAAAAAACAAAGTTCTATAGTTGTTTAAAACAACTTTAAGTAGAAATAATATTAAAAATATGAAGTAAGAAAAGAAAACCTAACCTAATAAAACCTTGAGACAGCAAGAGCAAATTTCTCATGAAAAGCTTAAAGCGAGAGCGTATGTATTTTCTATAGAAAATTTTGAGGTAAGCTTTTCGTATAGGAAAGCTTGAGCTATCTAGAACACTTCTTTATAGGAAAGCTTAGCGGGAGCACTTTTCCTATAGAAAATCTTCTTATAGAAAAGCTTGAGCTAGTAAGAGCACTTTCCTATGGAAGAGCTTGAACTAGCGAGAGCAATTTTCACTTTTTGAGCTAGCGAAAGCACTCTTCCTATAAAAAGAGATTGAGCTAGCGGGAGCACTCTTCCTATAGAAAACCTTGAGCTAGTGGAAACACTTTCGTATAGAAAAGCTTGAACTAGCGAGAGGACATTTTCTACAGGAAAACTTTAGCTAGCGGAAACACTTTTTCTTTAGAAAAACTTGAGCTAGCGGAAACACTTTTTATACATAAAAGCCATAGCTATTGAGAGCGTTATCGTATAGAAAAGCTTGAGCTTGATTCACTTCACAAATTCCCCATAAATTCACCAGTAATATGTGGAAAACTTATTAACTAATAAAAATTATTAATATAAACTTACTTGACGAAGGAAGGTAATGGGTTTTTGTCCCATAGCATGGCAATCACCAATATTAGCACGAATAACATAATCGAATGGTTTTTTGACACCCTGTAAGTAAAAAACGTAAATAATTAGACAATTAATTAAATGACATTTATATAAAGGAAAAAGCAGTAATCATATACATTTATATTTATCACATTATCCTGGCTCTTAATAAACATAAAATATAGAAAGTAAAGATAATATGGTTCATAAAATTACTAAAATAATTAGACATAATATGTTCGCCTTTCCCACATGTACATATACATACGTACATATGTAATTACATTTTATGTACGTACATATTTTACTAATAGCTTTGGTAGAGAAATTAAGAAATTAAACTCTGAAATCTGTTATATTAAATATAATAAATTATACACAACAATTAATAAATAATGAAACAAAACTTTCTTAATACAAAAACAATTATCTGAGAATAAAACCACAAAAATTACTAATTTCCACATGAAAACCTAGTCATATTACACTAATTATTGATAATTAAACGATAGGCTAACTAATGAAATATATGAGAAATATAATACATATTATAAAGTAATAACATTACAACATCAATAAAAAAAATAAGTTTAAATTTAAAAACAAATAACATTGAAATAACCTTTTACGATATAACAACCGCATTACAAAATAATATTACAATTTCAAGAAAAGCAAAAGTTTCAAATGGAATTATAATAAAACGTAAATATTGTAAATCACACATCAATCCAGTAAGTCGATGATGACGTTGTTAAAGCAAACAATTTAAATAATAGTAAATAATAAATAACAACAAATCCACTTGATGGCACTTTAAGAATGTAATTTAATTCATCCGTTTAATAACTTTTATAGAACGCATATCAATGGTTAATTTATTATTTGTTTGAATAAGTGAGAGTATTATTTTACGTTTAAATATTGATATGTAGACGGAGTATTTTTATATAAAGAGATTTTTCTTGTAAATATTTAATTGTAAATTATATATTTTTTCATTCAAATAAATCGAATACATCTTCAAGTAGCGTCAAGGAGAGATTCTATTCCTTTAGGAAAGCTTAAGCTAGCGATAGTTTATTCCTATTGCGAGAGTATATTCCTTCAGGAAAGCTTGAGCTAGCGAGAGTCTATTCCAATAAGAAAGATTGAACCAACGAGAGTCTATCCCAATCGGAAAGCTTGAATTAGCAAGAGTCTATTCCTATATGAAAACTTGGGTTAGCGAGAGTCTATTCCAATAGGAAAGCTTGTGTTAGCGAGAGTCTATTCCTATAGGAAAGCATCAGCTGTCGAGGGCCTATTCTAGGCATGGAATAGTACTTTAGTACTATTCCTAGCCTATATAGTCTAGTCTATAGTCTAACTTATTGTCTACTCTATAGTTCAGTTTATAGCCTCTTCTAACTTATAGTCAGTCTATAGTCTAGTCTATAGTCTAGTCTAGTCTATAGTCTAGTCTATAGTCTAGTCTATAGTCTAGTCTATAGTCTAGTCTATAGTCTAGTCTATAGTCTAGTCTATAGTCAGTCTATAGTCTAGTCTATAGTCTAGTCTATAGTCTAGTCTATAGTCTAGTCTATAGTCTAGTCTATAGTCTAGTCTATAGTCTAGTCTATAGTCTAGTCTATAGTCTAGTCTATAGTCTAGTCTATAGTCTAGTCTATCTAGTCTATAGTCTAGTCTATAGTCTAGTCTATAGTCTAGTCTATAGTCTAGTCTATAGTCTAGTCTATAGTCTAGTCTATAGTCTAGTCTATAGTCTAGACTATAGTCTAGTCTATAGTCTAGTCTATAGTCTAGTCTATAGTCTAGTCTATAGTCTAGTCTATAGTCTAGACTATAGTCTAGTCTATAGTCTAGTCTATAGTCTAGTCTATGTCTAGTCTATAGTCTAGTCTATAGTCTGTCTATAGTCTAGTCTATAGTCTAGTCTATAGTCTAGTCTATAGTCTAGTCTATAGTCTAGTCTATAGTCTAGTCTATAGTCTAGTCTATAGTCTAGTCTATAGTCTAGTCTATAGTCTAGTCTATAGTCTAGTCTATAGTCTAGTCTATAGTCTAGTCTATAGTCTAGTCTATAGTCTAGTCTATAGTCTAGTCTATAGTCTAGTCTATAGTCTAGTCTATAGTCTAGTCTATAGTCTAGTCTAGTCTATAGTCTAGTCTATAGGCTAGTCTATAGCCTAGTCTATAGTATAGTCTATAGTCTAGTCTATAGTCTAGTCTATAGTCTAGTCTATAGTCTAGTCTATAGTCTAGTCTATAGTCTAGTCTATAGTCTAGTCTATAGTCTAGTCTATAGTCTAGTCTATAGTCTAGTCTAGTCTATAGTCTAGTCTATAGTCTAGTCTATAGTTTAGTCTATAGTCTAGTCTATAATCTAGTCTATAGTCTAGTCTATAGTCTAGTCTATAGTCTAGTCTATAGTCTAGTCTATAGTCTAGAGTATAGTCTAGTCTATAGTCTAGTCTATAGTCTAGTCTGTAGTCTAGTCTATAGTCTAGTCTATAGTCTAGTCTGTAGTCTAGTCTGTAGTCTAGTCTATAGTCTAGTCTATAGTCTAGTCTATAGTCTAGTCTATATTCTAGTCTATAGTCTAGTCTATAGTCTAGTATATAGTCTAGTCTATAGTCTAGTCTATAGTCTAGTCTACATTCTAGTCAATAGTCTAGTCTAGTCTATAGTCTAGTCTAGTCTATAGTCTAGTCTATAGTCTAGTCTATAGTCTAGTCTATAGTCTAGTCTATAGTCTAGTCTATAGTCTAGTCTAAAGTCTATATTTCTAGTCTATAGTCTAGCCTATAGTCTAGTCTATTAGTCTAGTCTAGTCTCGTCTATTAGTCTAGTCTATAGTCTAGTCTATAGTCTAGTCTATAGTCTAGTTCATAGTCTAGTCTATACGTCTAGTCTAGTCTATAGTCTAGTCTATAGTTCAGTCTATAGTTCTAGTCTATAGTCTAGTCTATAGTCTAGTTATAGTTCTAGTCTATAGTCTAGTCTATAGTCTAGTCTATAGTCTAGTCTAGTCTATCGTGTCTAGTCTATTAGCTCTTAGTCTATAGTCTAGTCTAGTCTATAGGTCTTAGTCTATAGTCTAGTCTATAGTCTCGTCTATCGTCTTAGTCTATAGTCTAGTCTATAGTCTGTCTATTTGTCTAGTCTATTGGTCTAGTTTATTCCTACAGGAAGATTAAGCTATAGCAATGCTTGCCCTAGCCGTCCTATTCCTATCGACTATTATTTTAGATTTTAATTATTTTGTAAAATTTGTGTTGAAAATGCATTTTTATAAATAAGAAATTCCACTTCCACAAAATTTCATATAAAAAACAGCGTTTTTGAATCAATATTTTCACATTTTATTTAGGTTGGTGGGTGGTATTTTACTTTAAACACGTAGCCAATTGGAAAACATGCATTAGATGTAATGAATAATTGTATTATATTTATAACTTAATTAAAAGCAAGATTTGTTTTACCCTATTGCATCTAATAAAAAATTTTTAATATTTCGAATTGAAATGCAAATTAAATGCAAGAATTTTGTTTATAATTTTTTTGTGTTGAGTTTAATTAATAAAAATATATAAATAACTTTTAGGCAAATTTGAAGGTTCAAATTGAAACTATAATAAAATAGTCTATCTATGTATATTCCAAATCACAGACGGAAGGAAATATTTTTTTGGTTATTAATATTTTTATATTTTAAAAATCAAAAAATCTACAAATTTTTTCTAATAGGTCAAACATTTCCATTTAGGGTTAAACTTAAACATTATTCAGTTTGTACCA